GGGGGGGGGGGGGGAGGTGGGAGGCAATGGATATTCAGTATAATATGAAGCATTTATTACGAAAGAAAAATTCTGAAAAAAGGGGCAGAAAGTTTGGGTACAATTTATCAGCAGTGATTGAATTCAGCAAAAGATTAGAGATTTGTTTAATACAATGTATTTGTATATATTGGGTAAAGCCATTTAAAAATTAGTCAATAAGTTATTTGTTAGTTACTGTTTGATGTGGCCAGCATGAAACCTGTTTAAACATTGAAATGGTTGAAAATATTAGCTGAATTAAATATTATACACACACACACATATAATGGAAGAACATCATAAATAATGGATGTAGCTATGATTATGAATATGTAACCCAGTGTATACATGTATACTATGATCACAAATAAGAGTTATGCAGAAAAATAAGAGAATGTATGTGTAACTACTTGAGTGTGTTTGGAGTTCGGACGAATGGGATGGGGGAGGAAGGGAAAAGGAGATTCGCTCTAACAGGCGGGGGAGATAGAGATTCGAATATCAAAGTGGGAGGCAGGATACAGAAGCCAAATTCATAATATTTAAATACTATATTACAATTGTATTTCTTCCACATCCTTTCAAGACTCAAGGAGCTCAGTTCCACTCAAGTATCTTTGAGGCTTACTCTTATGAACAGAGAAAATATGTTTTGAGAACTTTACTCCCAACATAATGTTTGGTTCGAGGGAAATGGAAGGGATAGGAGGGACTTTTATAAACTAATGTTGTCTGGATCAAATTTTAGTAGGGGAGCAAAAGCCCTCATCCAATTTTTGCTGCCCTCCAATATTGGGGGGGATTGGGAGGGGAGGGGAGAGCATCTAAAAATAAATTCTGAAATTCAAAATTATAAGAGCACAAAGGTAAACTAGTTTTTACTTTTTAAAATCTCTCCCCTCCTCCTTTGAACTAAACAGTCCCTAAAAGAGTTCACTTAGCTCAACTCAGATTAGGCAAGATGTAACTTCCAAATACTAAGGGTCTCTGGTTAAATAAAAAAAAAAGGTTTTGGGAGGGAAAACATTTTTCAAAATTCCAAAAAAAAGTTTAAAAAAATATCTCTCAGTTTATTTCCTCTCATTTATAAGATTTAGCTGAAGGGAAACAACAAGGACCAAAGATTTGATTCCCAAATAAAGATGGATGCATGCTTCCCCTTTCATTAAATATCCACATTAGGTATAATCCCCCCCCCCCTCTACCTATAAGTTATTCCTCCCAGTACAATAATCAAACAATTTTAGTTAAGGCATTTTGATATTATTAATAATGTTTGTAATTGACCTCAGGATGCTTCAAAAGCCAAATAACTTTGTACAATTGAATATCAAATAATTACATCATTAGAGGAGAAATCAGAAAATGTAGTAATATTACAATGACATTATTAAAAATTGAAAAGACCAACAGCATTTACCAGTCACACTAAGATGAGGAGCAGAAGAGGGAAGAGCATCTTCAAGGTTAAACGAGTAAAATGAAATAAAAAACAAATAATCAGACATACCCATAACATCAGCAATTAAATGGCCTGATTCATTATATGCACCATCATCATTGTGAGATGCCTTCCTAGTCTGAGTAACTTCTTCCTTGGATACTTCATAGGCAGAACATACAACAGCATTACAAGAAAGGGATGGATGGGCACCATTTCCAAGGCCTAGCATCTGCATGCTACTACTGGTCTTCTCACCACTTTCAACAGATTCAACCTTGGCTGAAGCTACAACTTTTGAGCCACTATCAGCCCTTGCTGTAGATTGAGACACCACAGCTTGACTATCCCCTTGAGGATCTTCCCGACTCACCTCCTCAGGCACAAATTCCCCTGTAAGTCCATGATAAGGCTCAAATTCACCTGCTTGGCCCTGATTTTCAATCACATCAGCAATTGTTTCAACATCACCTAAACTATCACCTCTGTGAACTGAGACATCAGTCCCATGGATTTCAGCCTCATGGCTTGCACCCATTCCCACACTTCCCCCGCTAATACCAAAACTAGGTCCATCCCTAGCATGTGCAGTCAATATCTCCGTGTTCAAAACTTCCCCACACGCATTTGAACTGCTAACACCTGTCTCCCCTCCCACCCTTTCTAAAAGTGGTTGAAAACAAGCACTCTGCTGAGCTTGATAGCTGCTATTTAACTCTGATGTTTCATTCAAATCAGCAGAAGTGAAATTGACATCATTAACATCTACAGGAAAATTTTCCACACTTTCCATTGATTCATCATCTGAACCGTGATAAACGGTATTCATTGCAATAATAGAAGATGCATGGGCAGAATCCCTGTTGGACAGGATGCCAATGGCATGATCCCTTTCTGGGTTTAACTGGTTAGTGATGTTTGCATCTGGTTCAATTAGAATATCCAATGAATGGCTAGGTACAACATCAGAAGAATTTCTTAATGGAAACTGGAATGTTTCCACTAGATTAGTATCACGGGCACGCTTGAAAGGACCAGCTGAATACTGCTGACTACCAATGACTTCATTATTATCATGGTCAGTTATAGTTCTTTCGGCACTGTCTGCCTGTTGCATGTTTAGATGTGGCCTGTCAGCTGTGGTTCCACCATCATCCAACTTGCGTTTGCGTGCATCAGGGCCCTGTGATTCATAAGATGCTGCCTGGTCACCAACCTCACTCCTAGAAGGGCGCCCAATCATTAAATCTTTTCCTTCACCAGCATCTTGCATATGACCTGAGGTCGAAGTCAAGTTTTTGATTGGTGAATAGGATGGCCCACAAGCCATTTTAAGACTTAAATCTAAACATTTACTGGATACAAGTTGCCTTTTATCAGATGTTGTCGCCTCATCACGGTCTCCAGTCCTCTCTTTTTCAACACCATCTGCAGCAGCCCATTCATTGATACCACTAGCTGCACTTATTCCTCGTGTTGATGCTATTTTCTTGCTTGTTTGAGGGGTATCCATCCCACATGGACTCAAATGAACTGGACGAGGGGCTGTCAAGAAATCCCATACTCTAACTGTGGCCCCACATAAGCTACAATCTAACAATGGTGACCTTGACTCACAATTAAACTCTGAGCCCAGTATATCATTATCCCCGGTATCTTTCCTGGAAGAAGTTGAAAACTCCTTCTTGCTTGGAGCAGGATCAGGTCCAGAGCCTTTAGCTGGATCAGAGCTGCAACCATTTTTAGCAGATTCAGCTGACTGTTCTTCACAATCAAGCACGTTAGGAAGCCACCGTGGCTCCCATCCACAAAGACTAATGAGCTTTTGAGCCTATTGAAGTGGAATATTAATATAAGGATAGAAATAATTAAACAAAAAGGAAAAATTGGCACAAAATACACTTCTATATAATAAATAATTATAAGGAAACAATGTATCTGAAAAAAGTCTTACAGAAGAATATGGATGAGGAGCTTGTTCTCCAGTGAAGCCCATTCCGCATGCATTTTCTGCTCTGCAACCCAATTCTCCAGCTGTCTGAATATGGAATTGAGCAAGTAGGCGATCAATTTGAGGGCTATGTGTAAGTCGCATCTGCTCAACTGCAGATGAAGATACAGTGGGGAGAGAATAAAACTGCAAGAGTCCATCACACCGATCCTTAAAACCTCCAATTAGAGCTGAAGGTGAAGTAGGAGGGAACTGCACCAAGCTTTCTGGACAGCTGTTGCCTTTCCAAGGACAGGTGACTTTGTGTCCTCTATCAAGCTGTTCAGAAAATTCTTCACTGGAGGCATCAGCTACATCAAATAAATGAGAAACAACAATCAAGGCCCAGAAAGAAACATCGAAAGTTGTATATAAGTCATGATAAAAGGGCTTACGGTGAAATGCAAGAAGCTTAAAAAAAAAGAATAAAGTTTACAAAAATAAAGAATAAGGCTTTTCTTTATTGAATATTATCTATAATTAACATTACAAAAGGTTTAAAATGCACATTACAGATATCATACCTATATACCATAATCTAGCACAAAAATGGTAAAAAAAGCAACCTCTAAAAAAATTCTAGTTGAAATTATAATGTCTAACAAACTTCCCCGTAACTCTTTTAGAAAGTCACTTCCATCAAATCAACTGGACATGTAGAATACGTGACCTGTTTTCTCATTAAGCAAGAGATACAAAATAAATCGCATTGATTTTTTGTTCAAAAGTACCAAGTGAAATTTTCGGCCTTTCCTCTTTTCTATCCTCTTATCACATAAGGTAACAAGGTTTTATTCAATAGATAACCCTTTTTTCAGTGCCTATATAAGAATTAAATATTATATTATTCCAACTTTTCCTGGTAACTCCGAGGAAAATCTCAAATTGACAAATTAGTGCGAGCTCATCCGTGGAGTTAAGCAATTAAGTATCTTCAGCTACAATGCCAAATTATCTCGTGGAACAGATAACCCTCACTTAAGCTAACAACAAAAAATAATACACCGCAACTAGTTACCAAAACCACCCACACCCCGGTCACTAACCAAGCATACAAAATACATAACCTTCCCCAAGAAAAACACAAACACCAATTTCCATCTACATTAATAAATACACTAAACAAAGCTTCGAGTTGGATTCAAAATCTAGCAGAATCACCAATCCCCATTCCACACACACACAGCATTAAAAGGACCACACCAAAATAGCCACTACAAATTCACAACAACAGCCTCACCTTCAAAAGAGGAAGCAAAATCCAACTGAGCACCACATATCTCACACTCAATCTTCGCCACATCGACATTCACCCAGCCTCTCTTCGCGCAAGCCAACGAGCCAGCAACCTGCAAAGCAACCAAACCTCAGAACAATTAATTTCCCCCAAAATTCCCCAAACCTAATCGCTCCCGGCACAATTCAACCGTAACGAACCCAACCTTGGGCAATTTCCCGGCGAGCTTGAACGTCGAAAGGCGGCAAAGCAAATCGCCGCGCTCCCAGGGCCGGCAGGATGGAACGTAAGCCCCTCGCAGCACCGCGTGCGAATCCGAGCTGGATTTGTCGCGCCGGCGAGCTTCTCCGTTGCCGGCGTGCGCGGGAAACGCCGGCGACGAGGCCCCCGCGGAGCTGAGAGGAAGGAAAGGGAAATTAATATGGAAAATCGAATTTGAAAAAAAAAAAAAAAAAAAAAAAAACGCAAAACGCAAAACCCTAGAAAATGGAAGAGTTTGAAATCGAGTTAAGGTTAGCAATAATTGTGCGGTGTTAGAGAGAGAAAGAGAGAGAACCTGGCAGCGGGTGTTGGAGGAGAAGAGGGAGGTTTGGGATTGGCAGAGGTTACGCCATCTTCGTTCATGTTTTCCTTTTGGTCACTCGCTCTCTCTTTTCTTTCTCCTTCTAAGCCTCCCTTCGGGTTTGGACTTTGGGGACACGTTATTTACGTGGGAGATAAATTCCTTCCACTCTCCACTAGCCTTCTGTGGGATCCATTGTCAACAACTTATTATTATTTATTGTTTCTATAACACCACTTGTCTGACATTTTTTTTAATATAAATATATATTTTACTCTTTTACTATTTTAAATTTCTTTTTTATTAAATTACACTTTTCAAAAAATTATTTAATTTAGTTTAAGATATTAAATTTGTGAGCAATTTAAATTATTTTTCAAGAATTACTTTCACTTTTTTTACTTAATTAATTAATATTTGGAAGAGATATATTTTTATATTTATTTATCTTCTCCAATCGGCTTTTTGACCAAAGTAGGGCTGCATGGAAAGTTATTTACGTAAATGGGGCTGGTTAGAAATTATTTCCGCCTTTAGGGCTGGTTACAACGGTGTCGCTATGGGCCATAGCGACACCACTGCCACGTGGCATTTTTTACACTCCAGAGAAGCCATGAGAGCCATATTGAGGAAGTTGGTCCAGCCTATAACGACACAAGTAGTTACAATGAAGTCGCTGTAGCCCACAGCGACTCATATTCG